AAAAAAAGTACATACACCCATCACCTATCTGTCCATTCATACACCTACTCCTTCATCCCTTATATATGCATCCACCCATCTGCCCATCATTCATCCATCCACCATGTATCCACTGCCTAGCCTGTATCTAGCCATTTACCCATTCATCTAGCCATGCATCCATCCATCCATTGTCCATCCACTTATCACTCACCCACCCATCCATCCTTTTGTCCACTTACCTATCTATTATCTACTTATCCACCTGCCCATTCATCAACCATCTATTCATCTATCCACTCACCCTCTATCTATCCACCCATCCATATACGTTCACTGACCACTGACCTGGGCCGGTGTTTGCTGGCCCACTGCATTTACCCATATGTAACTGAAGAGAAAGATTCTGTATCTAAACCAATGACAGCAAGTTGCTCTCATAATAAAAAACCAACCAGCCAGCCAAACAACCAACCAACAAAAACCATTACGCTAAGAAAACATAAAAATACCCCAGCTTGGGGCCAGGGAGATGGCTCGTGGAATAAGCGCTTCCCTGGCAAGCACGAGGGTCTGAGTTCAATCCCTGGTTCTGCAAAAAAAAAAAAAAAAAAAAAATACCCCAACTTTTATTGTGTATGGTACTGGAGGTTGAACCCAGGAAATTTACACTGAGTTACATCTCCACCCCTTTTTGAATTTTTTTTTTTAATCTCGAGACAAGGTCTCACTAAGTCTCTAAATTGTCTAGGCTGAGCTCAAATTTGCAATCCTCCTGACTCAGCCTCCCAGGGTGCTGGGATTACAGGTGTGCACCCCCATGCCCAGCAGCAAATATCCCAACATTTGCTCTCATTGAAAGGACAGGAAACGGGCTTGGGACAGGCTGGTTTGTTAGAAGCTTCTGGATCCCAAGGGCTATTCAGTGAAAAGTGAGTGGCTGACTGGGTGCCTGAGCCACTGTCACCTGCACCCTGGGCCACCACCAGTGCCCAGCGACGTGTGGCGCCTACCACAGATGGACAGACAGAAGTGCAGATGGCACACAGGATGCCAAGAGGGCTCAGTGCCTCTCACCGTTGAAAGCTGCCATTGTCTTTGGACTGATCAGCTCGTGGTGGGTGACTGCCAGGGCCTGTCTGAACTTCAAGTTGGTTTCCCTGGTGGCCAGAGGGGAAATGAGGGCAATACAAAGGGAGTACTAGATAATGCCCTGGGGCCAGGAGCCAAACCTGCTCCAATTTCTTCTCTGTGACCCACGGAGTCCCTGACCCAGCAGCCCCTTCCAGCCTCCCCACCCACAACTGAGCTTTATGCTTTTTGTCCTCATCCCAGGGACCACCCCAGGACTGGAAGACAGCAGGTGCCTAATGCATGCAGGTTTTTGCATAGCATATACTCTGTACCAGACAGCAACAGAGGCCCAGAGAGGGAGAGGGCCTTGCCCAAGGCCACACAGTATACTTTCCCTGAGTTATATCCCCAGCCCTTTCTTATTTTCTATCTTGAGGCAGAATTTCACTAAGTTGACCAGGCTGCATTTGAATTTGAGACCCTCTTGCCTCAGCCTCCCAGAGGGTTAGAATGACAGGCGTGTGCCTTGCTCTTTCCTCTGCTTTTTTCTTCTACCCCACGCTGGCTTGGCAGCTTCTTCATTAGTAGCTGAGGACAGGACCTCTCCCTGGCACAGGACCCAAGGCCCTATACCCCGCCTTGCCATAGCTTCCTACCCATCAATGTCAGCCGTCTCCACGTAGCACAAACTGTTAGGCTCTGTGCTGGCCAGCAAGAACAGGTCGGCCTGGGTAGATGGGAGAGCACAGAACAGCAGAAGGTGGTGGGGGTGGGGCGGGGGTGCCCAGCCTACCCGGGGGGCACCCATGGTGCAGCCTCAGCTCACCGGAACAATGCTGTCCCTAGTAAGACACACCACATCCCCAACACATAGGTCTTTCCACTTCCGCCATTTGAAACTGTGGGAGAATAGGCATGGGGAGCAGGGAGCTGGGATCTCCAGACCCTGGGTGAGGGTGCTTTGCGTCCCTGGGACCCCACTAACCCCCTCTGGGATTTTGCTCCTCCAGGACCCAGCCCAGAAGCCACCCTCCCGCATTCCACTGTGCCCTTGGATCCAATTTCTTCTCTGTGACCCTCAGGGTCCTTGACCCAGTCACTTCCAGCCTCCCCGCCCACAACTGAGCTTTATGCTCCTTGAGTCTCTTTGTCCCCATCCCAGGGGCCACCCCAGGCCTGGAAGATAGCAGGTATCTAACAGATGCATGCCTGGGCCCTGCTCAGGCCCAACCAGGATGCCCAGGGGCACAGAGCGCGCTGGCCATTCCGTACCACCACTGCCCTTGCCAGCCTCTATGTGCCCAGATGTCCCCACATGGCTGTCCCAGCCTCACCTCTTCCCAATAAGCATCTGGCAGGGCCGGTTGTTGATGGCATTGTCACTCCTGTGTCGCCCCTGGGCCCGGAGGGTGGGGTCAGAGGTGACCTTGTGTCCCCTGCCCCACGCTCTCCCCACTCTGACCTTAGCAAGGTATCTTCACTGGTGGACCCCAGGGTGTCTGTCCAGGGACCCCCAAACCCAAAGACCACCTAAACAGCAGCTGACAGAGCCTGGGGGCACAGAGCCACCTCCCCAGGCCCATGGCTCAAAGGCCGAGCCTGCCCCCTGTGCCAGCCCCGGGGCCCTGGAGGCCACGCTCACAACGTCATCCACCAGGTCACGGATGGCACGGATGAGAAGGAGCAGCAGAAGTGGGATGAACAGGGTGATCCATGGCAGCGTGGAGATCTCGGGGATGCTCTGTGGAGACAGGGGTCAGAGCAGCCCCTCCCTCCTGTGCCCCTCAACATGAACGGGGGACCCCATCCAAAGGAGGGTGTGGAGACATTGACCTTGTCCCACCAGCTGCCCAGGTAAGGGCAGGAGGAAGCGGCTGGGTCTACAGAGCACTGCTGCCAGGAAGGGCAGGGAGGCTTCCTGGAGGAAGTACTGGGGACCAGCTGGGGGTGGGGGGGGTGCAGGGCCTAGACCCCTGGAGTCTGGCCCACCTGCAGGATGACGATTAAGAGGAAGTAGAGGTTGGACACGCGGTGGAACTGCTCATACAGGTTCCGAGGCAGGAAGGAGAAGATGTTGTACTTGGCTGTATGGATGCCATTGGTCTGTGAGGAAAGCAGCAGGGGGTGGGGTCAGTGCCATGCAGGTACAAAGCCACCAGCTTGGCTTCACATCACCAAGAGGAGCCACACCAGTGTTCATTACACACGCATACTGAGCACCCACTGAACACCAGGCCTGCACACAACCCTGATTTTTTTTTTAAATTTTATTTATGTGTGTGTGTGTGTGTGTGTGTGTGTGTGTG